CCAGGGGCAAAGACGTGCGAGAACACAGGGTGTTCTATTTCAGCGAGGAGCTGCCCCTACTCTATGCTGAGGAAGTAAAATTTAATCAGTAAAGTCAGTCTTGACAGTTTTCCCAGGAAGCTCATGAACTGTGCACTTACTCTATTTGCACGACATGATTTAGCCACAGACGTGTCACAACTTTGGCCAATGAGATGGAGGAGAAACTTGTTCTAGGGCTTCTGGAAAAGTTTCTCCCTCTTAGGAATGAACATTAATTACAGACATTCTCTCTTACACTACTGTATGTGTAAAAATGTGTTTCTTGGGACAACTGCAGTTAGTTTGGGACCATGAAGAGACAAACCTGAAGACCCACTACAGATGGCAAGGTGAAGATGTGAAGAACCAAAAGCCTTGTCTCTGGCTGGGTGACTAAATTAAGTACTCCGGAACCACTCACTCCAGACTTCTTTGAAAGAGAATTTTAAAACCCCCTTACTGCCATTCTGAGTTAAGTCTTCTGTTTTATTTTTCAGACAAATGCATCCCAAATGATACAGCAATTTTCATTTTGCAAAGTTCACTGTGGATGCAATGAAGCAGTTAGGCAGAAGAGGACTGGAAATGCTGGACAGCGTATCAGGAGGAGGCTGCCACAGCCATCAGTGAGTTGTAATGGAGCAAGGTCTGAGGGAGGAGATTTAAAGCCAGCAGGCCTTAGAAACCATTTGGTTGCATGTCACAGATTATGCTGAGGTTTTTGGATCATGGAACCAGTCAATGAGACAGGGGACAGAGCCGGAGGCCATATGAAAATGCTTGGTGGAAATGATGACTGGGAGGTCACAGATGAGATAAGCAAGTCTCACTCACTACACTGTGTAATCTGTGTGATACGGATCAAGTCTATCTTCTTTACTACTGATTTCCCTTTGCCATATTGCGGATGACTAGCAAGGATGCTTAATAACAAATGAGTGAGGCTTAGAAAGAAAAAAATATAACATTCGCACACATAGATGTGAAGCCAGAAAACATACTGAGGCCTCTAATTCTTTCCAGCCTACTGTCTACCACAAACCAACATACTGGAAAAAAATTTCATCCTGGATTCTGAAATGAAAGGAGAAATTCTCACTGGCAAATGTGGAGTAAGAGTAGGCTCACTCTCTTAGGTTAATCAGGAAGGTATCTAACTTTTTTCATAAGTATATATTTTGTGGAAGATTTTCCTTCAAGAAGGTGTTCAACAAGATGCACTCAGAGATATCTGAGCACCCTGTACTATTCCCCAGTACCAACATATCATGAACTGACTTCTCTCATGCTAACCTGGAGGAAGTGACAAAAAATAATTAAGAGTTACTCTGTCCACAATCTGCAGTGAATAGAGGCTAATTTAAATCTTTCTAAGGTCACATTAAGTTATTATTGTACTGTCTTTGAAAGCCTCAGGGAACAACTTCATTATTTTCTGTAGTAACATCATTAATTTTCCTCTTCAAGTATTTAAAAAATGTTTTTAGGGTGATTTTTTCTCAGCATCTTTTTATAAGTAATCCAAGGCACCAAAATTTTGTTAAGAAAATGATTATTTTCAGTCTTCTTGTTTCATGTCTCAAGTAAGAATTACACAAATTTAAATATTTCCCCAGATGGAACTAAAGGCTATGGAAGAGGCAAATTAGTAAACAGTATAGACTTTAAACTCAGAAAACTGATCACTGACCACAGGAGACAAGAGGTACATAAACTAATCATCCAAGGAGTGTGTCATGATGTGTAATTCATAGCACCAGACTATGGGACTGAAGACCGGAAGTGGTCTGGCAATGAAAGAAATAGAGGAGTGCTGCAGGCTGACAAAGGATTCATAGACACGGTGTCTCTTAAAGAACATCTAGGGACCGGGGATTTGGAGGGAAGAGCAGGTGCGTGGAAGGAGGTGACAAGTGGAGGAGGCTGGAGTGTCACAATTTAGAACATAGAGTTTATGTGAAAAGCATGTCCAAGATACCTTTTAGAATTACGTTTTCCTTAAAGTGCTTATATTTACGGTAATCATTATCCTACAGAATAAGTGAAATCTTGATTTCGTCTAGAGGGTGAAGGGCTTCTTCCTTCCTCTCACCAAAACGATCCTTCGTAAATGGACCACTTCATCTTCTGTAAATAGTAAAATCATTTTGGATTTTATCTGTGCTCTTTATTAATATTTTGGAATTCTGCATACATGGAACATTAAACAAACCAGGACCCAGGCATCATGGGATCACTTCAGATTATAGAAATTAAATAGGTTTAGGTCATGGCAGGGGCTCAATAAATGCTTATGGATTGGTGGAAGAAGTGAAAGAAAAGGAGAAAGAAAAAAAGATAGATGGAATTTGGAAATATTACTTCTCATTCCCTTTTTAAAAGTTGGTTAAGAAGTTACTTAAATCACAAATTAAATAGTATTTTGAATCTTATTTTTAGGTTTAAGTTATTTCCATTTGCCAGATTTTCAAGAATAGAGTATATAACTGGTACATTTTTATTTCCTATTTCAGATAAATTATGATTTTTATATTTTTTCTAAAGTTCTTTAAATTTTAAATAAAAAACAAGACTAAAATACGAGCAGTTCTTTTATTTTTTTTCCAGGAGTAGTTCACATGTGAAACATCAAAATCCAGCTTAATAATCATAGTGGGAAATCAGCAAATTTTGGTTCAACCTTATAATACTCTAAAGGACATTTAAAAATAACGCCAGGAAATATTCCTAGTTGTCTAAGTGAACCACTGACTGTATATAAACATTTCTGATCTCCAGAGGTAGAGAGGGGAGTAGAATAAAGAATGCAAAAAGAAATAAGTACTTATTTACAATAACAAACTCCTTTCTCCCAGAGCTAAATTATTTTGGAGCAAGAATGAACTGGAATTCTTTGCATAAGCAAGAGCTGAGTAATGTAAACATTTTAGATGCTGCCAGGGATTTCAAAGACCCTCTCAGCACTCCAGACTGCCCTGGTTTCTACATATTGTGGGAAACAGGCCACCAACTTTGACACTATAAGGACCTGCTCTCAGGGGAACTCGAGCCCTTTGAGATACATAGCCTTGTGCAAGTCATTTTTGCCCTGTGAATCTGTTTCTTCATCTGAAAGGATAATCATCCTCCTTCATATGATGGTTGTACAGACTGAAAGCCCACATCTGTGAAAAGCTTAAAGAAGTACCTTGCAAATAGTGGGAGCTCAATAAGTTATAAGCTATTAGTTCCCAATAACCACAATAGACTCAGACTCTCAACTATGACCCACTAGATAGCATCAAATCTGACCTCACTGTGGCTGAGATGGAAAAGACCTGACTGTAGCCAAAGACAATCAAATCAGCCTGCTAATTATTCTACGAGAGCCATCCTTATAGAGCTTGCACATATGAAGGAATAAAGCTAGGGCCAATCTTCATGATCAAGCATAAAAAATCAAGAAATACTGAGTCAGGGCAGATATAAGCTTTATCATCCCAATGTGTCATAAGTTTCAGCTCCTTGTCACTTTCCCTTTGGCCAGTCCTGGTAGCTCTCCACTTGAATTCAACCTGATCTACCAGTCCTTCCCTCACAGCTACAACCCTGTGGCTTACTTAGAGATTCTCAAATGTTCAGAATTTCCTGTTAAAAAGTTTAAGGCTTAGGAGGAATTTTAAATTTCAAACAAATTCTGTACACCTTAAAGGAAAACTCTCCTCTCTGTACTTCAGTCATGTTGATTGATGACGCTTATGTAAAGTGTCTTGGATCTGTCCATCGATAACAGCACTGTGAATGGAAATGTTGCTCTCAGAGAATTTTAAAATACGATTAAAATATGCCCAGAATCAACACAGCCAGTTTGGGTCATCTCATTGGAATAAAAGAAAGCGTCTATTTTTTGGTTATGAAAAATTATTATAAACTTTGATCCCTAAAATATTTCTTTAAAATATACAGTCTCTCCAGAAAAGGCTTTTTAAAAATCTTAAATCCATATAGTATTCTATGCTATTGGCGAAATTTACTTTGCAGGCAAAAAGAAAAGCTTCTGTGGGATGGACCTGGAGACATTGTTTTTATACCCATTATTTTGTAGCCACAAAAAGTCACAAAAACAGCAATGTTAAACTGTTCTAAGGCTGTTTGCATAATACAAGCACAAAACAATTTGTAATGGATTCTTGCGCAGCAGCTTTTTTGATTATGGATATAATGGTATTGAAGGAAAGCCTTTGGTCATAAGTACTTAATATCCTGCTCCATACCCATCCTAGTCAAAAGCATGAAGTCGTCTGTGTTTGTCTTCTTTGAGACTGTTTTGGCCTCTATTCCTGTTACCTCCCCAAGTCTACTCCCATTTCATAATTGCATTCCTGTCTCCAGGGGCTTGGGACTTCTCTTCAGGATATTCACATGCCAAATCACTAATCAAAGCAGAGCAGTGCTTGCATGCAACCTCTTAACAGACATCTTTTCATTAAAGAAAAGCACAATCAGCTGGAAGCACCCCAACCTAAAGGAATAAATATGTAATGATAAAATTTTACCTACCATAGTATTTGATTCAGCGATGGTTCCTCAGCACAGGACCAGAATTAGAAGGATATTAGTAGTAATAATTGCCTTCTAAGTATTTCCCAAACTTTGGTTATGAGACCACTGTGCTACAATCATCAAATATCTCTTTGAAAAACAAAACAAAGCAAAACGAAACAAATGATATCTAATTCCATCCCTAGGATCATTAGATGAGAATCTCTATGAGTGAGGGGATATAATTTAAAATGAAGAGGCAGATGGGTAAACAAATACAAGGAGAACACCATTATCCCAGTTTTGGAAATCAACTGGTAATTTTGTGTTACAGACAAATGCTTAGGGTTTCTATGCATTACTGGCCTATCAGACCATTGTGCCGTGTCGCAGTATACCGGGAACATCTATGTCAGTAGCGATACACTAGGAATATCTGTTTCATCTTTCTTTCTTACCAGGCACTCCAGCTTGGATCCAGAAGTTAATGTCTAACCCCTCTGCGTCCTTGAAGACCTGAGTGATGTTGAGAGGCTGTAGCAGGCTCATGACCTCCTCCATGATAGCTCTGGCCTTCTCACTGCCAGTAAATTGCAGCCCAGTGGGTGAGAATAAGCCTGTGTCAGACTCCATCACCAGACTGTAGTTGGAAATATTTACCTAAACAAAAGAAAAAATATGTCTTGCATATCTGTTGCTTGTATACTTTCTCCTTGGGAACAATCAAATAATAATAACCAAGTATTTTATCTCCTCCCAAGTTGCTGCCCAAATACGTGCTGCTCTGCCTGACTTTGGATCTGGTTGGCCTATTAGCCAATGGTTCTTAGATGCATAATTTCTCATCCTGGAATTTGCCAAACTCGACAGTTGATTTAAAAGGATTTGAGAAGGACAATAAAGGAAATTTATTAAGATTGCTGAATTGTTTCTACTAGTAATAATATTCTTTCAATCAATTTTTTTAAGCATCCACTGTGTATTGTGTAATTTCTTAAGCATTTAATAGTGCAATTCCTTTTTTATGGCAAGGGTCAGTAGAGTGTTAGCCATACTCAAACAAAAGAAATTATGCTTTGTGGACTTATATCTGCACCTCTTTCCTCTAAAGAGATACCCTACCTTCTTTTAATTGTGACTTCTGCAGCTAACAGGCATCAAACTGACAGGTTTGTCTTCGCTTTCTGATTTTGTTGTTGTTCCATTCGTCTAATCCCCAAGGAGGGCAGTAATAGAATAAGACATGAAACACTGCTCTCCCTGGTGTAAAACCGCAGCACTCTAATCTCTGCCAGGCCGCCAATTTGTAAACTCTTTCTAAGTAAAGTCTGGTAAGAAAGCACACAGCGATTTCATGTAGCCAGTATTGTCACTGCAGGAGCTTAAAACATCACAGGCTGTGGGCAGGCCAGCAGCCAAACTGTTGCCCAGCCATGACCTGCAAGTTTAAGGCTCATCAAGCTGGCCAGGCCCTCTGTTCCTCAGGAGCCAACTCCCTCTCTAGGACTGACCTGCTATCACCTTTGTTGAGTTATTCCCAAACTATCCTCGGACAGTGCTGCTACTCATTCCTCATTCCTCATCTAGTTTCCAATCGATAATAACATTTGTACAGCGTTTCCAGAGAGCTTTCATGTTCGCAGTTTCCTTTGGTCTTCTTTGACAACCCATAAAATAGACAAAGCAGCTTTATGGTTGATGCATTTTTATAGGAAAGGAACTCAGGATCAGAAAAGTCAAATGATGTGCTCAAAGCCATACAGCTGGCAAATGGTAGCACCGGCTCTGAAATCCTCTGTGTTCCAAACCACACACTGCCACCGCTCACATGTGACTGGAGTGATAAGTAACACTTGCTCTGCATTAAAATGATTTTTCCACTTGCATAACAAGTGGAGCGTTGCATAAGTAATTTTTCCTAAAGCAGATTCTACTTTACAGTGATTTCCTAACATTCATTGTGAAAGTATACTGATGCCACAAAGGCCAGGGCAGCTGTGGGCTCTCAGAGAGGATGCTGCCAGCCCTTATAGGCCTGAACTTAAGGCCTAAGGACACCAGCGTTTTGGTTGTCACTGTTAATGATGAGAAGGTTAACAAAGCAGAAGCCTGCTCACATTTCCACTCTCAGTTCTAGGAATTTTTGTGAAAGACTCAGGGCATTATTAATAAAAGGAGCACCTCAGCTTTTAGCTATGGCTGCTGCATTATGGTACCATCGCTACAGTTAATGGTATGCAAAAGACTTGCATTCATGTCCTATATTCATTTAACTGCATGCTGCCGCGAGATCGGCAGGTGGATGTGTAATTTGGCAGTCCTTGTCCTCTTCCTGTGTAGACCTTGCTATATGCCCACCCTAAACTCCGCCTCCCTTACAAAAAGAAGAAAAGAAAAATCACAATGTATCGTACAAATGAAAACAAAATTGGGCCATCTTATATGTGCAGATTCTCATATTGCAGGCAGATCCCATGCTTCTGACAAAAAAAAAAAAAAAGGCAAACTGCTCCTAATTATGTACTATTTAGGTTAAAAGTGGACCCAGTTAGCAGTGTAGCTGTCAGACCCAACAGTAATGAGCAACCTGGAGAGGTGGATACAGTCTATTCCTGACACAGCAACTGACACTGTGCTACAAAAGAGGGTGGTGACTGGTCTCTCCTTGTCTCAGCAAATCATGTAACCTTGGGCCTTGGCTTCTTCAACTCCAAGCTGGGACAAATGCTGTCTCCTAAGCTTGAATAATGAACCTGTACATAGGGGTCTTCTACAAACTTTAAAGCAAAGGGCTGTGCAGACCAAAGTCAAATTGGTTGCATAAATCGAACTTACCAGGGCTTCTAACAGCATGTTCACTAAGTGCTTCCTGGCCTTCTTTAACTGCAGGGGAACAGACGTCCTCAGGTCACAGAATATCATAGTTTGGGCATGCCAGTGTGCATATCACAGTATGTCGATAGGAGTGGAAGGAGTAATGTAAATGCAGAAGCTTTCAAAGGTACCTCAGGCCACATATATGGTAACATTTTAGCAGAGGAAAGAAGTGTGTGGACTTTGGAATTACCCAGACTGGTCCAGGTCCTCCTGTTAACTAATATTTATCTGTGTGACTCTGGGTACTCTGTATAATCTCTCAGTTTCTTCCTCCATGACATGGGAGGACAAGGGGACTACTGTAAAGCAGGTAACATTTTTGCAGTGCTTCTTACACTGCATGAATGCCTTGCAGCTCATCCCATGAAGTGTCGAGATAAACGCAACTGTATTTCTCATTTCACAGAGCAGCCACTGATGTTTACTCAGGTTATTGAACCTTCCCTGGGTTACATGGTTAGTAAGTGGTGCAGCCAGAACTCATACCTAGAGGTGTGCTTCTACCGGCCTGTGTTCTCCATGTTCCACTACCCTGCATCCTGAGGCTCACTTCTAATTTCTCACCAACAAGTCAGAAACACTGAGACTCCAGTTCCACAAATATACGGATTTTTAAAAAGGATTTTTCATGCTCATAATCAAGGTCTACTTGGATAGAATAATTTCACAATGAAAGGAGTGAAAAACAAAACAACACAAAATTCTTGCTCCAGAGTTTACTTCCAACTAGGAATAAAATAATAAAATACCTTTTCAAGGCAAATAAGACCAGATGTGTAGATATAAGCAACCCAAAATGTTGGAGTAGGTAGAGAAACATTTGATGTCCATTCATGTGTGGCTATATTAGCTGCTGCTGACATGACAGCAGTGTTCTCTTATTTTCTATTTATATATAAACATCTCCATATGTTTTCAAAAAAGGACTAAGAAAACAAACCACCCACCACCCATGACACTGCCTTTTCCCTTTATTTATGGAGCCACCATCTAATCATTAGCACATGGTGAAGGAGTTGGGAAAACAAAATGTCTGAGCACAAAGGAACTGGAGTGAATAGCTGGGTCACTGGGCTGTTAGATCCTCTGCTTCTCAGGAATATGTCATCACCAACATCCAGATATCTTAGTGTGCCATGAGCTTCTGGGGATACACTCAGGGTAGATGTGAAAAACTGGTTATTGCTAGTGACAGGGAGGGGGACTATGTTCATTTTACTTACCCCTTTATAGCACATGTAACAAGATATTCATCCTCTTGTTTACAGGGTGTGCAAAGAAAACCACTTCTAAAGACTGCATGGGTCTTTAGACTGCATGCTTTATGAGTGAGATAACCAGCCCTCACCCATGCTTTATGGGTGAGACAAGCCAGGGCGCATAGATGAGGAGGCTGAGCAGCTCAATAAGCTCAGACATTATCTATAGCCCCCTTTTGTTCTCTCAACAAAGGAAACATCTCTATAATAGCAGTCATTGAAACTGTCATTCATTACCATGTAATATATAGAATGCAATGTAGAAAAAATGCTCTTGGGTAATCTCCTGCATTGGGATCATTAGATTAGTTAACACCTGCTCAAGGCTGAGGATTCATAACTTAGTCATGTACTACAATCACATCTTATACTTCTGGTTTTTTTTTTTTAAGCAATAGGCTATTCTGCCAAAAAAAACAATTTGGTAACCATTAGTATTCTTTGAGTGCAACACAAGATTAGAAAGAAGAAAACTGTTTCAGATACATATTGCATGTTTTAAAACTTTTACTTCCTAGTGTAAACACAAGGAGGATGTTTGTACTCTTTGCTTTCATAAAATTCCAGGCAATTCTTCAGAAATACAGACTCAAATTCAATTACATCTCCTCTACTCCCAAATTTGGCTGCTTCTTTATTCAAAAGTTTCTTTTCTTATAATCTAGAGGAAATAACTGATGAGAAAACAAGTGCTATTTTCTCATGGTTCTCAGTGTGTCTTTGGTTTGGATCTAAAATAACAATGAAATCCTAAAAATCAAATGAAAAGGAAAAAGCTGCTTGATTATTTGAATTAATTATGTACCTCCTCATTCAACTTTCAAAAAAATAGTTCACACTGACACAGGGCAATCAAAACTATTAACATTTAATGGGGTGAGAAGGGGGTACTGAGGCTGATTGCCCTGTGTCAATGTGGAGTTCATTTTTTTGCAGATTGAATTGAGGAGGCTTTCTTCAGTTGGTAGTGATGCTGTTTGGTCAGGTGGTAGGCTAAAACCAAGCTTTGAAAAGCAGCTCATCTCGTGATGTGTGTACTGAGCAACTGTGATCAGCTTTCCCAGCTGTGCCACTGGCCCTGGAATTCCCTTTTCTAAGGGTGAATACAGTGGCTCTTCCACAAGCAGCAACTCGAACCATTGCCATAATCAGATCATAGGTAAAGAGTTTTCTTCTGCTATATGAAGTCAAATATAGGCTTTGCTTTCTGCATGGGTCTACCCTGGAGTTCACAGTTTTATTTTTGATATGCTCCAGCATTCATTTTTGAGCAGCCTGGAGTACTCAAGGGAGATCTAGAAAAAGAATGATGACAAGGTAAGGTGCCATAAGTTATTTTTATTTGACAGCTAAGCAGGCTGCGGCTTGGGGAAATGGGCAATACTGGGCAAGTTACATTAATACTGAACTTGCAGACACCCATTGTGGGTTAGCCACCACTTTGCCTGGAGATGGAGAGCAAAATGAATAGCTCCGGAGACCCCTTTCCAGCTCTGTCACTCTGTATGTGTGCACAGAAGCTTT